ATCTACTCCAGCATCTTCTTTCACACACATGCCTTAGAGGGTCAACAAATAGGGAATAGAGGTCAGAGTTTCCCATGATCATGCCTCCTAGCACTTGTATTTGGCGGTTTACTGCCTTTGGATGTGTAGATTCCTTTTAATCTTCATGGCTAGTAGCCACTGATGGACCTATCCACGAATATGTCAACTTCCCTTTTAAAGCCATACAATAATGGCCATCTCTTAGTGCACTAGCAATGAATGCCACAATGAAATCACTCACCAAGTACAGAAGTACTTTCTCTTGTCTGTTTATTTATTTATTTGTTGCATTTATAGCCCACTCTCCCCGCAAGTGGGCTTAGGGCGGCTCACATTGCTTGGCACAGTGTGCCAAGATTCATATACACGTTTAAAACATTAAAACATTTAAAACTGTAAACAATTTCAAGTCAAAGTGTACACAGTGATTATTAAGTAAGATGGTGTGCCATATAGTACAAGGCTCAAAGCAAATGCAGGCTCCTGTTCTTCAGGCGGTTTGGCTTGATCTCAACTACAAAAATACTGCAACAGTGCAACCAATACAAAATACCGTATGAAAAATGACAGAATAATCATTCCATAATGTTTAATCTTTTTTCTTTTTTTCAATCTAGACGCCACAAGATGAACATGCAAGCCGTCATGAAGAAGTGAAGGACGAACTTCCCCGGAGTAACCGTTTCGTTTCGATATTTCTTTTTCATACAACCATATCAGTTCTGCTTCAGCAAATTCATTCAACTTCCCAAAAGGATTTCTCTAATTCCTAAATACTTCCGAATAGCTTATAACCGGCACATAGCCTATGTATCAAATCAGGCAGCCCTCTGGGGTATATACGGGGAAAGGCAGTCCCTCAGGTATGTTGGACCCTGGCCATATAGGGCTTTAAAGGTAAGTACCAGCACCTTGAAGCAAATTCGGTATGCTATTGGCAGCCAGTGCAGCACCTTCAGCACTGGCCGGATGTGCTCCCATCTAGGGAGACACATCAGTAGCCTGGCCGTGGTGTTCTGCACTAGCTGCAGCCTCCGGATTTGCGCCAAGGGCAGCCCCATGTAGAGAGTGTTACAATAGTCTAGCCTCAAGGTGACCGTCGCATGGATCACTGTAGCCAGGTTGCCGCGATCGAGGAAGGGAGCCAACTGCCGAACCAGCTGCAGATGGTAGAAGGCCGACCTAGCAATGGCTGCTACCTGGGCCTCCATTGCCAAGGAGGGTTCCAGGAGCACTCCCAAACTCCTAACCACCGGTGCAGGCACCAATGGCACCCCGTCGAAGGCCAGGAGCGGGAGCCCCAACCCCAAACTGCCCTGACTCAGGCACAGGACCTCTGTCTTCGCCAGGTTCAGCTTCAGCTGACTCAGCCTGAGCCAACCAGCCATGGCGTGCAATGCCCGGTCCAGATCTTCTGGTCTGGAGTCCGACTGACCGCCCAACATCGGATAGAGCTGGGTGTCATCAGCGTACTGGTGACATCCCAGCCCAAACCCGGCCATCTGGGCAAGGGGGGGCATGTAGATGTTAAAGAGCATTGGGGAAAGCACCGCCCCCTAAAGCACTCCGCATTCAAGCAGGTGCCTCTGGGACTGTTGTTCCCCTAGCGTCACCCTTTGTCCCCGACCTTGGAGAAAGGAAACAAGCCACTGTAAGGCAAGCCCCTATATCCCCACGTTGGCAAGGTGGTGGGCTAGTAGCTGATGGTTGACCGTATCAAATGCGGCTGACAGATCTAACAGCAGCAACACTGTTGAACCGCCCCGATCCAGATGCCTCTGGAGGTCGTCAGTAAGGGCGATCAGCGCTGTCTCTGTCCTGTGTCCTGGGCGAAAGCCAGACTAGGAGGGATCTAATATGGAAGCGTCATCCAGAAAGCTCTGCAACTATCGCCACTGCCCTCTCAATTAATTTGCCCAAATAGGGCAAATTGGAAACCGGCCAATAGTTGGCCAATTCAGCCGGATCCAGGGATGGCTTTTTGTATTTGTATCTGTTCCGTATCGTCCATACCATCATCAGTTACCTCCAGTATCTTACAGGAGAGAGAGAAAAGTTTTCTTTGCAAGACAGAAAATCCTATAACCAATGTATTTACCACAAAAAGCATACAATGTTGTTGTTTCTTCTGTACAGAACATCTTGGATGCAAATGAAAGCTTAGGAGTGCATCCATAATTTCTGCCTATATGATGCCTTGGAAATAAAATGACCAATGGTGATGCAAATTTCCAGTAGTTGGTGCTTTCTATCTTGAGTATTTGCTGGTGTTTCATCCTGTATGTTTCAGTAACAATCTTTTTTTTTTTGGTACAGTGGCACCCAGAAGCTATTTGTATCTACAAGTGAGACCTGCAGAGCTGTTCCCTCTGAAAGGAAAAGGGAAGCATCAGACTTCCTGTACCACAAGAAATTATTGTATCAGAGCGACTTTGTTCAATAATGTGTGGCTTTCATGTAATGCCTTGAGCTTCAGTCTACTCAACTTTATCCTGTATTTGATTTCATTTGTCAACAGTTAACCAGAGCGATATTTACATGATTCTGTTCTATTCTCTCAGTGCTTGTTTTCAAGTCCCTGTGATAGAGGTGTGCACTGAATTAAGTTGCACTGATAAAACCAGCTTTTAAAGTAGTCTAATGCAAACATTTGCACTCAGTAGAGTACATGAGCCATACTATTCTTTTTCACAAAGTGAAGAGACTGTAGAATTTCTGTATACTTTTTTTGCCATCATGTTGCAGCCGACTTATGTCAACTCCATCAGCTTTTCAAGGCAAGAGATTTCAGAGGTGGTTTGCCATTTGCCATTGCCTGCCTCTGTGTAGCAACCCCAGACTTCCTTTTTTTTATGTAATGTAATCTGTGTTTTGGTATTTTACTCTTTTTCTCATATATATCTCTCCCAAAGGTAACAAGACTCCGTAACTCCCTCTCCCAGAATATTTCTTCTTCAGATAGTAATAGATTTAAAATTCACCTACTGAAGATGACCAGTGAAAAATTCCCAATGTTCACCCCTTGAGAAATTGCTGATATGGTTAAACCAGAAACATTTGGTGATTTCTGAATGTCTAGTCAGTATTGTAGCATTAAACACCAAGTGTATGTGATGTGTGATGGTGGGGAGGAGGGTTTAAGAAGAGGTGGATGGGAGACCACTAGGGCCATGAAGGGTTACTACAGAAGTAGGCAATAGCAAACCACCTTTACTTGTCTCTTGCCTTGAAAACCCTATGGGACTGCCAGCAGCTGGCTGCAACTGGACAACACTTTCCACCATCACAAATGAGCACATGGACTTGGTACTACATTAACCAATCTGGACTGTACCACCAGTGCTGGACCTAATGTCTCAACTGAAAGCAGTTAACAAAGGGATCAGACCAGTCCTCGTGTAGCACAACTGTCAAGTAACCTGAGTGAAAATGCCTGACCTTCACCATGGTCAGTTTCATGCTTCAGAATAGAATAGACTTGGTATAACATATAACAGTATTTCATAGTGGTTACAGTGTTGGGCTAGAATGTGGAAAGCCGGGTTCCAATCTCCTCTCAACCATGACACTCAGTGGGTACCCTAGAACCTGTCATCATCTCAGCCTAACCTGTATCACAGGGGCATCGTGCAGACAAACTGGCGTGGAAGAATAACTACCTAGGCTGCCCAGAGCTTAAATACGCACGCACACACACACACACACCACTTGCTGGAACAGCAGTAAGTTATGTGGCATGCTAGCTTTATTTAGTTGTAAAAGAGTTGAGGGGGGTGTTTCACCCTTGTATCCAAGAAAGCAGTCAAGCATTTGACTCAGGCGACATCAGCACCCAACACTGTTGTGGGGCTCCCACCCCAATGTATGATAATATTAAAAGGCTTTTTTTTTCATCTTTCCACAAGGTGTATTTTTGGGGATGATAAAAGACATGAGGTAAAGGAAAATGAAAGACTGAGTCGCTGTAGGAAATGAAGATAGAAGATCAGAGTCAGATACACTCAGGGAGAAGGAAACAAACAGGAAGCCTGATGTGACGAAAGAGCAATTATCTGAACAGAAATAATCACAAGCCTAAAGGAAGTATAATTTCCCCACTCTATAAAAGAGTTATTTAACTGCCTCCACTTACTGATAATTGAGCTCATGTTCTTTACCAAGAAAGAACTGAAGTTCATGGAAGGATGCAATGTTAACACCTGTCTAGGACTACATTCCACTAAACAGCTTATTTCCAAACAGAGGTGCATAGAACTGGGCTATTAGAATTTTATGTAGTCTTATATTTTGGTATGAGGATGTGAAATGGTATAGTACAGCCGATCTCGTCAGATCTTGGAAGCTAAGCAGGGTTGGTACTTTGATGGGAGACCACCAAGGAAGACTCTGCAGAGCAAATCGATGGAAAACCACCTCTGCATCTCACTTGCCTTGAAAACCCTATGGGGTTGCCATAAGTCGGCTGCAATTCGATGGTACTTTATGTACATATTTTGGTATATTGTGCAACAGTAGTTGATTAGAAATTCAATTGGACTAAAAGTAGGTGAGACATTTAACAAGAAGATTGAGGAAAAACATTTAAAGAAAAAGTAGTACTACAAGTACCATTTCTCAGTGTCTTGTGTCTCCAAGAAAACCAAAGTTTTGGGCCCGTATGGTGTTAAATTATCCCCACATGCAATCAGTGTCAATCCACAATTAGGGAAGTTTTATAGCAAAGAGATGACACAGTGCCTTCAGTGCATTCAGCTTAAATGCTTTTATTGACAGTGTCTTGAACACTAAGCAAACAATGCTTAAATTTCATCCAAATTCACTTTCCACATGTCAATACCTCAAGGTAGAAAAAAATAAAAATATAAATATCTCCATAAATAAATTAAACACACAATAAAAACGTTTTCATGGAAAACTTATGCCAAAACCATTCAACAATCTCAGACCACTTCAACAATGTATGATCAGTTAAAGTTACGATGAACATTGATGTACACGGAGAACTATAGTACATGGACAATACAGCTATTTATTCATCTACTAGAAAATAAAATAGTCTCTTCTTTTTTCCGCAGTTTAAAGTTGGGTCATTGCTAAGTCATCAAAAACACAATATTGCCAGGAACACAGTAGTTATTGTTAATCAGCTGCACTAGATACGAGTTGAAGATACCCAGCACCATATTAAAATTCCAATCATTTAAACCAACAGATTAATTAGTTAATGCTAGTGAATATTAAAGGAAGGGGAAGGAGGGGAAGTCACCAACCCAGCCATGTTGAACATGCTACAAAAACTACCGGTTCTCATGAGTGGGGGACAAGACAAAAATTCCATGCGATTTTGCTACATCTCTGGAAGAGGTATCAGGCCCGATGGCAGACAGGCTGGCTGCAGAGCAGTCCATTAGCAACAAAGTCATTCCACTCCAGATGGGATGCCCCTGCCAGCCGCCGGAACAGAGGCGTTTTGTCTTCCCCGGGCCTCGGGTGAGATCTCGCAGCTCCACCGGAAGAGGAGAGTAGCTCCTTCGCGGCCTAAGGCCCCATGCAGGCAGCAGCAGCAGCAGCAAAGAGGATGAGGGGCACGGTCTCCGCCGCGGCGATGGCCCCTTGACCCTGCGGTTATTTCTCCCGGATGCGGCCCTTTCACAAGGCCAGCAGGGTGGGCGAGCTGAGCGAGTCGGAGGAAGGCTCGTTGCTACTGCTACCCTTCCGGTGCGCGGCGGCGCAGCTCGGGAAGGAGTCGGTCTCCGGGTAGGTGAAGACGAAGGAAGAGGTGTAGGTGCTGGGGCAGGGCGTGCAGGTCACCACCGGGGTGCACAGGGGCTCCAGCTCCGCGTTGCCCGCCGCCCCCAGGGGCTCCCAGTCCGCCGCGTAGAAAGACGACGAGCCGGAGAGGTCCACGTCCGGCACGGAGCGCGGCGTCTCGCGGGTGGAGCGCGAGAAGAGGAAGTCGTCGAAAGGCTCGGCCTTCAGCTCCGGGCCGCCGCTCTCCTTGGCCGGCTCGGCCTGGGGGGGCTCGTGCAGCAGGGGCAGGGCGAAGGCCTCTTCCTCGGACTCGGGGGAGCTGGCCACGGGCGCGTCGGCCAGCAGATCCAGCGAGGAGATGGCGAGCTCCTCGGAGAACTGGAGCTCCTCCGGGATCTTGCAGGCCGGGCGGTGGGCGGCCAGGATGAACTCGAGCTTCTCCTTCTCCTTCAGCAGGTTGGCGATCTCGGTTTGCAGCGCGGACTTCTCTTCCTCCAGCTGATCGGTCTCCTGGGGCCGGGGAGAGAGGGAGGGGCGAGTCAGTCCCGTGGGTTGCCTCCCGGCGGCAAAGAGCGTCAGGCGGAACAGACCCACAGACAGGGCACGGCAGGGGGCCCCGCTAGCCCAGGCCGGAGATACTCACCGCTTGCAGGGTATCAGTCAGCTCCCTCCTCCGGTTGCGGCATTTAGCAGCTGCCATCTTGTTCCTCTCCCGCCGGATCCTTCTTTTTTCCTCCTCCTCTGGCGTCAGCTACACGGAGAGAGAGAAAGAGCGACCGTCAGCCTCCGGTGCCTGAGAACCCCAAGGGTTCATTTCCTGTCCCCTCTTCCGTCGCAGTCAGTGAGACCGGCGGTTCTTACAGGAGATCCCTAACAGAGTTTGGCTAGTTCCCACCACTCGTGCAACGTAACTTTTAAGTATGTCTGCTACGCAAAAGTAAGCTCCATTATGTGCAATAGGGCTTACTCCCACGATCAGCGTGCCTAAGATTGCAGATTTTCAGTGCAATCCAGAACAGGTCTATTCAGAATCCTGCTCAACGGGGCTTAGGGCTTGCCCTGTTAATATCTCAGGGGGCATGATCCCCACCAGTTTGCAAAACTGGCTTATGCCGCGATGCCACCTGACTTTCTCGTTGGAAGGAACCAGCCCCCCAGCGTTCTCACAGGCCCCCCACCACCACCGAAAAGTGCCCCTAACCCCAAACTCCACCCCCTTCGATCTGCCCCGCGTGGCCACAAGGAGCTGCCTGCTCACCTGTTCAATTTTGCCCCTCCTGCCAATGCTTTGCCCTCTGCTTCCCGTAGTCTTGACCATGCCGGCCCTGGCGTAGGCGGTGGCTGAAGAAGCAGGGAGGCCGTAGGGATGGGTTCGGTTCTGGGAAGGAGCCACTGAAGAGATAAGGGTGGGTTGGACCATCCATTGCAAGTCTGGGCTTGTGGAGATGGCAGTCACGGTGGGGACGAAATTGGCACTGGAAGCAGATAGGTCGGTGCAGAAGTCCTGGGAAAACAGAAGGCGACGACTCGGTTTAGTCACACAGTCACGGGGCGGGTGAGGTGCAATGCACGCTTATGACAGGTCTCTGTGCCCAAGAGGTTGGTGCGCTATTTTGAGCAGGGCCTGCAGTCCCTGGGGCCAGATTGGCTCGGACGCTGCTGCTGCCATCATCAGACTACACATGAACCGGGGCTTGTTATAAATATCTCTGACGTCTGCGGTGACGCAAGCGCCGCTTAGGAGTCTCCTGAATGAAGCCGCGTTTTTATCAATGAAACGGCTTTACGCACCCGCTGCAGAACACCGCCAGGGCCAGGACCGCCCCCCCCCCATCATAGCGCCAGGCTACATGTTGATAATACGTGTAATACTTTATTTCCCTATACAATTCAGTATGTATACATAGGTATGTACTTATAATTAGATATAACATATAAAAATAGTTATATACATTTAAAATCAGTGGGGGGAAGCATGCATCGTATAAGTCAGCTCAGCTCTTCCTGAGCCCCTGCTAGTAGAACTACTCCTGTCCTATAATTATGGTTTAACAGCCAAAAGATCTGGACAGCTTTGTCTCCCAACCCCATTAGCAAAACGCAGTACCCCGATTCCTCACCTGTGCGTTGACAGGCGAGCCCATGCTGGAGAAAGAGTCCGCTGGGGATGGATAGTAGGTGAGGCTGTCCCCAGCCGGAGAAGCGCTGCTGCAGCGTGAGGAAGACGCATCGTAGTCAGCGGTGAAGCCCTGATACATCATGTCGGATAGCCTGGGAACGTACAAACCCTTCGGGTCGCTGTATCCGTCCCAGATGAGTATCCGAACTGAGCGGTTCTTTGGCTAGGCACACGGGTTACTTGTATGCTTCAGCCACCTCGCTTTCTTTGCCCGCTTCAGTCACTCGGTTTAGCTCTGCTGTTGGAGTAAAGTGCGGTACCTCCGCCTTTTATTGTGTACAGGAGACTTTTGTGAATGAGACATACGTCACGGGCCGTACCAATCCGCAAGAGAGGGAAGCAGTAGCGGTCACGCTCCGCCTCTGAGGCAGCACAAAGTGCGCGTCACCGTGACAGTCTCTCTTAACATCAGTTACAAGTACTTCACGAAGTATCGTGGTGATTATGGATAGGATTTGAAGGGGTCTTAACCCTCAAAGGTGAGGAAAGTTACTTGTGAGCCCCCTTTGCAATGTGGTACAATCTAAACTCGGGAACCCACTGACGCAGATATCCTTATATGGTATACATCCTGTGCAAAGGGGTGTGACTGACGGGAACTGCTCCAGGGCTGCGGCCAAGAGAGTTGCTGCGTGCCTGTGGCGACGACAGGGGGAGCGGGGAGTAAAAGCAGCAACAGCCGCAGCAACGGTTTATGCATGCAGATTCTGTCCTGTTCATTTAGTGCTGAGCAGACACTGAAATAACGCCTTAAAGAGACAGAGCTGCAATTGTCCATTGAGCCCATCAAGAAGAGAGTCATTGGAATTTGCCCAGGGTTCTTTCGTTCTCTGATTTTTTTAAGATCTTGAAATACTTTTTTATTTCAGGTATTGCTTAATTTCACCTGAATGTGCCTATATCTTTGAAAGGAAATACATATGGGAGATTCTAAGGGGAAGATAAGAGGGAATCTGATATAGTGCGTGCAATCATGAAGATATAGAGCAAATTTTCTTTCACAGAGACAGGTTAAAAGTGGTGTGAACTCACATAATCTCCTTTATGGCTTTTGGTGCTGGACTGAATGAGTGAAGTAACTATTATACAAGAAAATGATTTTTATTATGAAGAACATTAATTGTTATCCACAATGCTAGCCCTCTTTTAACCCTTGCACCTGTACTGAACTGTCATAATTCCAATTTTACAGGTGCAGAAATGAGACAGCCTTGCCCCATACCCTCCTGTCCCCTCATGGCCCACCCCAGTCTGTGGCCTGGTGAGCTTAATTTACAAGTGCTAAGTACCAGGAAGTAGTAATGATTTTAAACTCATATTTTGTTTTATGCAAATTTAAGATGTTAATATTTTTAACTAAACATTTTAATATATAAACTGGAGAAGTGCTCACACAATTAGTTTACTCCAGGTGGCTTGCTACTGGGATTACATTTGTCTAATATATTAAATTTTTACTATCAAAATTATATAAAATGGTGCTTTCTTTTCTCAGATATATTAGGCTGCAATCTTATGCATATCCCATTACATTCAATGGGACTTACTTCCAAATAGGATCAGACTGTTACACATACTAAAGACACTTTTCCTTCCCATATGAATATCTTTTTAATATGGTCATGTACATGAACTAACATTTATTCATTTATTTTATTTAAAATATATTATACCACTTTTTTCCATATGAAAGGTACAAACAAGCAAGTATGCAGTCTCTAGAGCCTTCCTGGAGTCTTCTCTTGAGAACACATGGAAGCATCCTTCCCACATCTTAAGACACAGGTGTGTTCATTAGTTTCTTCCAAAAAAATACAAGAGACAGCCCTGATTAAAAGCTATCACCCTCCAGTTTGCATAGGTTGCCTCAGGCAATGAGCAGGGAAATCCCTGACACCACTGTAGAGAGTTGCAAGTTGTTTTAGTTGTGTCAGCACTTTATCTTGTAGTAATTATACGCCGAAATGCAAGTAAAGAAAGTAAGGCCTGCGTCATATATCCTTCACACAGAAGAGTAAAGGACAAATTGATAGTTTAGTGGTTTCCCAGATGATGGCTCAGGACTTATTACTGTACTCTGAGGCACAAGGAACTTGTGAGAGGACCGCTCACTTAAGGTAAATTTCAACAAAATGCTTGGAAACATTAGCAGAGATCCTAAAGGGACTTCCATGAGACTGTTCTGGAACAAATCATTGCAGAATTTCTGTAATAATAACCGGTTGCATACAGGACTTCCACTGAATACTCAAAGCTCCTCACACAAATTATCTCAGCTTTCTAAATCAGGCATATATTGCTAGACACAGAATACACATAAAAATAACCAGAGTCTTGTGGCCCCTTAAACTAACCAATTGATTATGACCCAAGCTTCCCCCCTCCCCCTTCATCAGATGCACATAAATACTGACGCTGATATAGGGGCTAGTCTAGGGCCACTTCCCTAATTAAGGGCAGAACTCGGATTTGAACTGTTGCCAGTTCATTGCTCACCCTCTCAACAATTATACATTACACAAAATATAGGTGATAATAGGGCCCACCTTTTGTTGCCAAACAGAGAAAATATTCCATTAGGTTTGTAATGTAAAGGAGTGCAAAAGGTTCAAATATGCTATTGAAGCAGCTGTGTGTTGACAGGGTAGCAAAGTTTTGAGTTACACAGAATGCTTCCTTCAGACGGGAAGCTACATCTCAAAGCAATTCCAGTATAACCGATTTCTTCCCATAATGTGTCCTTATTTCCACACTTTCTTTTGCATCTGTTTTTCTTGCAGCAAACACGCACACAAAAACTCAGTTTATGGTATATAACCTAAACTGGAAAGTTACCATGCAGCTATTTCCATGGGAACCTACATTTATTGTCGTTGCAAATAAACGCCTGTCTCTGGAGCCGAATTGTTTCTGCGTGAAGTTTTGGACTAAAATACCACACATGTACCGGACATATGGAAAATATAACCTAGCGTCCTTCCTGAAGGCTTGCCGGGGAGGGGCGAGCGTGGAGTTCTGGAAGGCTGTGCACGATGCATATTAACATAATCACGAGGCGCTTAATCACGCAAGGCGCCCACGAGAAGAGACGGCTTGCTCCACCGAAGGTGTGGAGCCCTGCCAGGAGCAGCAGCGCCCGCCTGTTTATTATTGATGGAATGTCCCAGAAATGGCTGGGGGCGAGGGAACTGGTGCTGCTGGGATGCACTCAGCCTGTCCCCAGCGGACGGGAGGGAGGGAGGGGGCTGCTGGGAGGCAGCCAGCGAGCTGCGGTAACAGGCGAAGGAGGCCGCTCTCCTTTCCCGGAGCTGGAGTTTGTTATGATCGCTGCTGTTGCGGGGAAGCCCAGCGACACCCACCCACCGCGCAGAGATGACAGCGAGGCAGGGACGGCAGCCAGACCACTCTCGCCTGCCGTGGGAGCCAATGAGGAGCAGGGGATCGGCGAGGCCGCAGCAGCGAGCCGGGTGGTGTGTTTACAACAACAAACAGCAGGTCTCCGGCGCAGTTTCTAGGCAAAGGAGGAGCTTCGAGCAATCCCGGGCCCGCGCAGATCTTGCTGGAAGGCCGCCCCTCCGGCCGCCTGAGCTCATCGGCTAAATGCGGCGATTGATGCCGCCGACGCCGCATGGTCGCCACCAGCCCTTCAGGACCTGGGCCGCGGGGGCGGGAGGAATTGGGCCAAACGCTATTTCGGGGTTTCCCCGTCAAAGGCAGCGACAGCAGTTTAGGCGCCTGGCCTCGGGAGTGGAGCGATTCTTCGCCGGGGAGAGGCCCGCAGGCCTGACTTCACGGTGCCAGCCCTCTTCCGTAAAAGTTGCACAAGTTTGCTCAGACGCCTGGCGGAGGATGCGCCACAATCTCTGCGCCGAGGACAAGGTGGAATAGTTCCTGCTCCGCCGTCCCTTAATTCCTACACCGCCGGTCAAGGCTGCCACAGTGTTTGCAGAAAGGGAAAAGTTGTCTCCCCTGTTGATTTGCCTAGTTTCAGACCAGAAAGGAAAAGATGGGAAGGGGGTTAATTGTTCGGGAAGGACAGGAATATTTCATTTTTCTCGGCCCGTTTTAACCATTCATTTCATATTTCATTTCAGTTAAGGAATTGTTAACGCTCAAAACGCGAATGAGTTTCTCTCATCTCATTGGCAGAACAAGCCTCTTAAGATTCTCTGCTGTAATTCCCATTTCACAAATAGGGAGCTGAGGCTCATAGACAGCAATTTGTCTAAAGTGACTGAGTCATGGCTTAACAGGGACTCTTACTACTCACTATCTAGGCCTTAGCCTTTGTTACCTTTCCTTGTCCCAGTTGTGCCAGGGTCAAGGAGGCTTTGTGCTTTGAGGAATTCACCAAAATGTATGCCACAACCATCAAATAATGTGTGGTTGTCCCAGATTAGAAAAGCATTTTTGTTGTTGTTCAGTCGCACAGTCCGACTCTTTGCGACCCCATGGACAAGATCTCGCCAGGCCCTCCTGTTTTCCGCCGTCCTCTGAAGTTTGCTCAATTTCATGTTCGTTGCATCTATGACACTGTCTAACCATCTCATCCTTTGCCGTCCCCATCTTCTTTGACCTTCAGTCTTTCCCAGAAAAGCATACTTACCTATAAATTTCAAGGCATTACATGAATATCTTTGTTAAATGCCCTAGGCTGCAATCCTAAAAACACTTTCCTAGGAGTAAGCCTTGTTGAATAAAATGGGACGTCTGAGTAGACCTGCTAAGGATTACTCTCCTAGAGATGCATAGACTTAGACTTGGGGGGGGGGGGTTTATTATGCACAAGGCCCATTGCAACCTGAGAAAGACACATAGTGGCCAGAGAGAACATAAAATCCTGACCCAGCCTAGGCAAAATGCTATCACCATGAATGTTGGCATCTCCTAGAACAGTCGAGGTGTCTCCAGCTCCCAACCCAAGACCACCTCTGCCAGGTCAGACAGGGCACCCAGCAAGGAACCAGCATGGTGCAGTGGTTAGAGTGTCGGAGTCGGATCTGGGAGATCTAGGTTCAGATCCCCACTCTGCAATGGAAACTTGCTGCATTACTTTGGGACAGTCACACTCTGTCAGCCTAA